AAAAAAAAAAAAAAAACAATTTGGGCTAAATAAGCCGTCTGTTCCGGGCTCAGAGACCGAAAGTTAATACGGGTTTTCATATCAGACTCTCACTTATCCAATCTGTCACCGGCCGGTAGCAATTGGACCAATAAGAATCGAATAAAAAAGTCGGCATTTATTTCGAACTTCACGCCAAGACTGAAACGAAACGGGACGAACGGAATGGAGCGTTTCGTCGCTTTTGGATAGTCGGTAGCAAATGAGCTATCCTACTAATAGACCAAGATTCAACATTTCCCGCTTACTTCAATTTTGCCCCCCTTTCTAAGCTTTGCGGTCTTGTCCCATGTAAAAAACCTGGGTCTTCTTCCTATATTTCAAATTCTGATCACAGTGGGCTCATCTAGGGACTATCGCCTGTCGATAACCGCAAAATTCGTGGAAATCGGCTCAGTAGAACGCTCAAATGAGCCATGACAAAAAATAAAAAATTACATTGATTAAATGGGAGAATTCGTAACTTTACTCCGCAACATGAAAAACCTGGGTCATATTTTCAAAATCTGAATAGAGTGAGCTCATCTAGAGACAATTGCCTGTCGATAGCCGCAAAAATCATGAACATCGGCCCGGTAGAACGCTGGAACTAAGCGTTACCAGGTACGCAAAATTTTGAGTTACAGTCATTTTTGATGAGTATTGATCCAAAACTGTTGCCAAAACTGAGAAAAAATGATACGGTTCCCGAAATCGTAAAAGACCATAGCTCTGACTGGAGGCCCTTTTCGTGAGAACACTTAACAAGGTGTAAAAAGTGTTATTTCAACCCATAAAACACGCTTCTTATTGTAACGGTTTCATCCATGGATATACTCTGTATTTAAGGGATTAAGGTGTGAGAGCCAGATATTTCTGTGTGCGATAAAATTGCGAATTCCATGATATTTTAGTTGAAACAAATGCGATGACTTCTATCAAATATTTCGCTCGGGGGAGGGGGGGCAAGGGGGGGGCCTCCTCACCTCTCCTTTCAGCTACGACCCCGAGGACATCCAGTCCAATCAGTGAGCTTCGGGCAACAATGCATTTACGACCGAAGGTTGCATTCCTTGACGTCAGGCTAATTCCTCTATTGTTTTCCAAGAGAATACAAGCATCTTGGTTGTAAAACGAAACGATCCGTAGGTCTTGAACGACGGTGCTTGGCGGTCGAGTAGGGTTGAACGTAGATCAGCACACACAGAGACAAATGAATGATATGTTCAACCATGTTCGTAGCAAATTTTTGCACCAATCGAGGAGTATGGTTAAACCAAAGATAGTACATGGTAAAATCTGCATTTCGATGTTCAAGTTATTCTTACTGGAAAGGTAATAAATCCAACCAAATCCAAATTGCGTTCTGCCCGTCACAAGTAATCTTAGTGGGTAAAACCTGTTCTTTTTTTTATCGTATTTTTTCTACCTTGCAATTCGTAAATAATGGTGAATAATAGCAGACGGAATAAAATATTTTGAATTTTGAAACCGTATTTCTTGGGTGGCAGAAAAATCAGTTGTCAGTATGGTTGAATTGATCATTCATCATTTTCCGTGCTTAAGACCTCAAGTGTAACTGTGGGACTAATTTCGATGTGTTGAACTTAGTAATAAGTATGCAATATTTCTGGCTCATTTTAGGAACAACCTAAGTGTCCTTGGCTTCCGTATGGTGGTACCTTAGTGTACAAATAGTAAAAGGAACCAATATTTCTGGCTTATTTTAGGAACACCATAAGTGCCCTTGGCTATGGTGGTGCCTTGGTGAGAAAATAGAACATATCACTATCGATGAAACCACTTCATAAACTATCGCGGTGGACGGCATCAACTACCGTTTTTCATACATCGGAAAAAAATACCTCCTGAATTTGCCACCAGGAAAATTTCCCTTTGAATCAAGCAAATTTCTGCTTGATTGAAACGACTTTCTTCGTTAGGTATCACTTGTATATTTGAGCTGAGAGAAATTAATTTTTGGCGCATTCAAGAATATTCCAGCTTAAATGAAGTCACTTTTTTCCAACGTCAGGTAAAAGCTTTGACCTCGCCTACATCAGACGTTTTGAGCTGAGAATTTGTCTTTCCTCTCACTCTTGTGGTTGCTGATTTTAAAATTCAACCACCACACCATTGATCTTTCACCGGCGCATAGTGGATCGAGTCAATTAGAGAGATCGAATACGAAATTTTGGACAAAACTTTGGCAAATTTTTATGTTTATATCGTCACATTTTAAGCTTTCTTGAATTATATTGCACGAGGAAACCAATGGAACCACTTTTAGAACTTTAAAGTTTTATATAAACGGAGTTATAAGCGTTTAAAGTTTTCAAATTTTGTCCGACCTCTCCTATTGACTCGATCCACCATGCAGCGGGACTGATACTGCACAAATTGATAGGCGCAAATACTGATTCCTCAGTATTTGCGAACAAAAGAGAGTGTAGAGAATGTGAAAAAGTTAAAAGAAAACGGGTGGAAAACTTGAGATGCAATAACAACACAAACTAATTTGGACATGGAAGATTTAATGTTTTTAAATGGAGAAATTCAATGTAGCGAGAATGAGAGTTATTACAATCACTGACTTTGATTTTGCTGTATAAAATTTCTGAGCAACGACTAAGTTGACAAGCAGTGAATTGATTAAAATCAAATTGCGACGCCAGTTTTACTTGCAAAGCACTTATTGATTCATTTGAGATTATAGAAAATCATTTTCCAATAAACGAGGAATAATTACGACGGTGCGGAAATGAGATAGCACCCTAAAGGCCTTTCAGCTTAAACATGTAGCATGAACTGGATGGGGTGGGTTTCATTTAAAGAGTATGATTTCCAACTTGTCCACTTCCTTCTGACTCTTAGCGTAGTTGACGAATTTTATTTTCCCTACTTGTCCAGGTTTTCTGTCATCTGTGGCCACCCTAAAACCAGTCTTTCTCTTTAAAAATTTCGAAAAATAAGTTAACAATTTTTCACGGGTGCAGGTAGTTCAAAGCCCTCCCCAATATTTTAGCCCAATTCGTGATCAATTCCCCCTTAGGCCAGAAGATAAAATGATAATGATGAGAAACCCTTGTCCCAAAAAATTCGACTTTGTCATCATCTCTATATCACCGTGAAATCTAAAATTTCGAAACATTTGACGGGGTCCTCCATTCTACCCGTTCTCGAGGAGGTTCCACCATGTCAGGAATTGCCAGGTCAGGAAGTTTCCGCACCCCTGCAATTAAGTTGGGTCCGTAGTACTCCGTAGCCCCTCCCCGTGGAGGGATGGAAGGGGGAGAAAGTAGTTAACATTGATCTATGAACATCTCGAAAATTTCGTTCCCAAATATGAAGTAACTAAAATTTAAGAGCGAGTGGGAGGGACTTTTGGGACACCCTGTATAATTGTCCATAAGGAGTGTTGAATCCCTGAAAGTAAAAGTTTCCACCTATCGTCAAGAGGTTAGTGGGACACCCTGTTTAATAATTGTCCGTAAGGAATGTTGAATGCCTGAAAGGGAAAGTTTCCACCTATCGCCAAGAGGTTAGTAGAGGGTCTCTTTTTGCCTCTGGCTGCGCCCCCAACCCCCCACCCCACCCCCGCGCAACGTGAGGGCGACAGCCGTGATAGCTACGCCACTTTCCTCCGGCCTAAAGCTCACGGGCAGAAGGTGACGACGTAGTTAGGGGCTCCGTAGCAGTCGAAAAGACTGGTAGGGTCGTCGTAGGCGTAGCTGTAGGCGTCCGGGCACTTGTCCTTGAAGAGGCGGGACCAGTTGGACGGCGGACACTTCTCCCTGGTGTTGTGGTTGTCGCCGGAGCAGCAGAGCTCCGGCTTGCGGAAGGCCTCGCAGCCGCTCTTGCAGCCGACGACGCCGTCCGGGGTGCGGACGGCCAGCTCGTTGGGGCAGGCCCGGTTCATGTCGAACTTGCAGTCGATGTGCCGGCACTTGGGCCCGCTCCCGCCCTGGGGGCTGATCGACATCGGCACGTTCGAGCCGTCCACGTTGCTCACGTCGTACCTGCGGGTCGCGGAAAAAGTGAAAATTGGATCAGATTTCTGGTGGAAACTCCACACGGAGAAAAAAAAAACTCGTGCGTGGGACTCGAAGTTTAGGTCATATGGATCTCTGAAGTTTTCGGATTGAGCATCTGAACACTTTAGGTCTAACTGCCGAAGTTCAGATCACACATCTGAAACTTCAGTTCTTGCATCTGAAGTACTTTAGATGTGAGAACCGAAGTTTTTCGGATGTGAGAACCGAAGTTATTTCGGATGTGAAAACCGAAGTACTTCAGATGTAAGAACTGAAGTTTCAGATGTGTGATCCAAACCTCAGCAGCTGGACCTAAAGTGTTCAGATGCTCAATCCGAAAACTTCAGGGATCCATATGACCTAAACTTCGGGTCCCACGCACGAAGTTTTTTTCTCCGTGCAACACTGCAAAAAAGGTCGGTCGTGTGTACCGATTCGATTTTATCCCAACTAATTTGGTTTATCCAACTGAAATTTCGGTTCGTCAAACTGAATTTTCGGTTTGTCAAACCAAACTTTCGGTTCGTCAAATCGAACTTTCGTTTCGTCAAACCGAACTTTCAGTGCGTCAAATCGAACTTTCGTCTCTTCAAATCAAAATTTCGTTTCGTCAAACCGAACTTGGGTTCGTTCAACCGAACTTTCGGTTCGCGTAACCGAACTTGCAGTGAAGTGAACTGACGGACAAAGTTTGGTCGCATATGCCTCCATTTGAACCCATGCTAAATAATCGATTCTTCTCGGAGCACCTGGCCCCTCCAAGAATCGATACATTTCCAAAGGTTTAAATGGAGGCAAGGCAATGTTGCCAATTTACTGGATTCGCCAATGCTTTTGTTGGAAGGATGTGATTTTTCCCCCAATTTTTTTTCTATTTATTTTTCGATTTTAAGATACTTTTTTCCAGTGCCCGATTTTTATTTGGATTTCATTTTACAAAAAGGAACCACTAGCATTGCAATGATGCTAAGATTGTGCAACTTCATCCTTTGCAATAAAATTGCGGAAATCGTGAAAAACTATGAAATTTAGATGGTAATTTTTGTCTTAAACTCACAGTTTTCAGCGAGTAAAATAGAAACTATTAATGGATAATCGGGTTTTTCCTCCAAGACAAAAGAAGTTGCACAATTTTAGCAAAATTGCAATGCTAGTGGTTCCTTTTTGCAAAATGCAATCCATTTAGTTATGAGTATTTCAGTAAATTTGCTTTGAATTTTGCCGCTGATCAAATCTCAACCCCTTTCCCTCCCGTGACTTGGCCGAAATAACGCCTCCAATACTACATTGCCTTTAATAGCGCCTTCCTTCCTTTTCTGAAATGGGTTTCTAAGTGCGAAGAGTACTCACCAGTCCTTGCCATTATCGTTGAGGGTGAACTCGGCGAGGGTGGCCGGCGGGGCGCCGGTGCGGCCGTTGCAGTTGCCGGCGCCGGAGCCGCAGTCGCCGGTGACGCAGCGGCCCGAGGGGTGGTCGCACTGGGTCCGCGCCCAGATCCGGCCGGCCGTCCACTTGCTCGGCACCTCCAGGTCCCGCGACGCCCCCGGCCCGAGCATGAAGCCCGTCGTGCTCAGCTGGGCGCCACCGCCACCCGTCTGAGTCGCCGGCCACAGCGGCCACCGGCAGTTGTTCTTCACCGTTATCCGCACCGCCGTAGACACTGCAAATTGAAATTACATCGGATTATAAGAGTCGGATTGTAAAAGAGGAGGAGGAGACGACGAGGAAGAGAGAGGAGAAATAAGAAGGAGGATAAGAAACATACGAGAAAGAGGAGGAAGAAGGAGAAACGTGGGAGGAAGAGAAGGGAGAAGAAACATGGGAGGAAGAGGAGGAAGAAGGGGAAGAAACATGGGAGACAGAGGAGGAAGAAGAAGAAACACGGGAGAAAGAGGAAGGAGAAGAAGAAACATAGGGGAAAGAGGAGGAAGAAGGGGAAACATGGGAGGAACAGCATGGGAGAAGAATAAACATGGGAGGAAAAGGAGGAAGAAGAAGAAACATGGGAGGAAAAGGAGGAAGAAGAAGAAACATGGGAGAAAGAGGAGGAAGAAGAAGAAACATGGAAGAAAGAGGAGGAAGAAGAAGAAACACGGGAGAAAGAGGAAGGAGAAGAAGAAACATAGGGGAAGAAAGAGGAGGAAGAAGGGGAAACATGGGAGGAAGAGCATGGGAGAAGAAACATGGGAGGAAGAGGAGGAAGAAGAAGAAATATGGGAGGAAGAGGATGAAGAAGAAGAAACACGGGAGAAAGCGGAAGGAGAAGAAGAAACATAGGGGAAAGAGGAGGAAGAAGGGGAAACATGGGAGGATGAGCATGGGAGAAGAATAAACATGGGAGGAAAAGGAGGAAGAAGAAAAAACATGGGAGAAAGAGGAGGAAGAAGAAGAAACACGGGAGAAAGAGGAGGAAGAAGAAAAAACATGGGAGAAAGAGGAGGAAGAAGAAGAAACCCGGGAGCAAGAGGAAGAAGAAGAAGAAACATAGGAGAAAGAGGAGGAGGAAGAAGATGAAACATAGGGAAAGAAGAAGAAGAAAAAGGAGGGAAGAATAGAAAAGAAAAAGAATGACGGCATGGACCTAGGCGGGAGGGAAGGCAGTGAGGGATGAGGGAGCCAGCGACTGCTGTTGAAAAAGATCATGGCTAAAACCAAGAGTGTTTTATGTATTCTTTTTGATAAGCAAAAAATGTTCTCTTACGACTCTGCGAGTCCGAGGTCGATCCCCGATCCAGGGGCGAACAGTCAACATTAAACCCTCTGCCCAGCATGACTAATATTTGTCTGTAATTAAAAACAATCGCGTACGAAAGTATCTGTATATCTCCCTTGAAATAGGGCAGTAAATGACTTCCAAAAGCAAGTTAAAACATTTAAAAATCCATCAGTCTCTTGACATTGAGGTAGTTTCAAAGGTTCAAAATTAAACAGTTTATTTTTTACTCCGCGCACTTACATCCGTTACTTAGATTCAGTTAAAACAGGGTCGCCAGTCAGGGAACACGGGAATTGTCAGGAAATTTTAAAAAGTCAGGGAAAATGACGATAGTGTCAGGGAAAAATTGTTAAGTCAATCATATTTGCCTCCTAGAATGGGTTTGATGTTTCAAACAACAGATTTTGCGAAAGAACTTTTTCGAATTCTTTCTATTTAACCGTTTGGCTTCTCTTCAATTATCAGGGAATTTTACTAAAATGTGACAGAAAAATGCCAGGGAATTTAATTTTCTGAATTCTCTGGTAACCCTACTAATTTGGTATTAACAGCGAATATTTTTCGTACATACCATTGGCTAAGACTGCAGCAACACAGAGAGATACCACGAACTTGATGAACATGTTGAGACGGAGATGCACGAACAACAGTGAAGAAGAAACGTTGAAGCCAGCGAATTTATAAAAGCAGAATAAAAAAAAAAAAAAAAAAAAAAAAAAAAAAAAAAAAAAAACCTGGGTAAAATTCAAAACTTAACTCGCCGAGGGAATCCCCGGTCGCGCCCCCGGGGCTTTCTCGGACGCCGAACAGTGGACGAACCAATAGATGAGGCCGGACATAAAATCTTTGACTATAATTTCAAATTTTTTATGTTTATTTCATCACAAATTCAATTTCAAAGGGTGTTTTTGAAAGAAAATTTCACGAAAGAACCAATGGAACTACTCTTAATCTTTTTTTATTACATATTTTTCGAAAATATAAGCTTTCAAAGTTTCAAGATTTTGTCCAACTTCTCTTATTTACTCGGATCAGTGTGCGCCGATGTGGAGCGGGTCGACTAATCAAAACGACAGAAACAGGAAAACCACTCGCGAAATGATCGATTTCAGCTGCCTGATAATGATAAAATGGGGAAATGAGATAAATAGTACAGGAAAATGCTCAGTGTAATCCACACTAATAAGCAATAACATAATAAAATTTAAAATTGCACGCTGGGTGCATTAGCTGTTTCTGCTGTGAACAATGATTGATCGGGAAAAAGCCCTGAAAATTTACTGAGCAATTAGAAACTGCGGTGCACAATGCACATCAGTTGCATTGCAGCGACAACTGGACTGCATATTGCAACGAGGAATTATTATTTCTGGCTGTGTTGTGTGTGTGAGTGTGTGTGTGTGTGTGTGTGTGTGTGTTATCTAGTTGTCTATTCTATTCTAAGGCATGTATTTAAATTGGCAAGGTACAATTCTTAATTTTTAAGTACAAAGACGTGCTAAATAAATATTCAAAAATTGGGCACGCGTCGAGAAACACCTAGCGGCTGACCAGGTTATCTACTAGTCCGGAAAGTTCGGAAATAGTACTGATTTTTTAAGGGCGGTCCTATAGCATAGTAAAAGGGCGGAGAATCCGGAAGAAGGTCCGGAATTTTTTTCCATTTTTGTCATTTTTGCCGCAATTTGAGCAAGAAATTCAAATTTCTGAAATGTTTCGAATTGCGTCAAATGGAGGTATTGAAAAAGTACTGAATTTTTCTGTTGAGGAGGTATTGAATTTCTTTGGAATATACTGGAAAAGTACTGTAAAAGTACTGATATTGACCAGCCTGTTTTCGTAGACATCCTGCTGGCTCATGAACATAAAATCTCGAAAATCTTACATTCAAGATAACAACATCGCGACTACGAAGCAGTTTTCACTGCACTGAATTTAACGTTTGAAAAATTTTCGCTGCATTCGGAGTTTTCTGAAAAGGTTACATTTATACTACTAATCGTTAGTTACAGGCTGCGACCTCCTTCATAATTCACCCGCTATTTGATTCATTCAGACTCCAGAATTGTTCCGAGTAGGAGGTGCGGGACATAGGTAAATGGGACGCTTTGTTTAGCTTTCCTGGAACCCCGTAATAAACTCAAGACTTCCCATGACTTCCCCCTCCCACCAGCCCTAAACTTTGAAAGCTCTCCGCTTGAACCCGTTTGATTTTAATCGAATTCAGCAGCGAACACTGCCGTCGAAATTTAATTCGAGATTCGTCGAGTTCTTCAGCTTTAGGACTAGAAATAAATGGACCGTGTTTAGCAGAAAGGACCCAAGCCTTGTCGGCCATTGCCAAATTTAACTAGGCAATTTAATTAGTTTGCAAGAGAACTTTGGTGCGGACTCCTTTTAAAATGTTAAGGAATTTGCTTTCTACCATGCAGACAATTCACTGAAATTTGTACAAAAATCCGCACAACTGTTTTCATGTAAAAAATTAAATTGCTCAATTAAATGGCAATAGCTGATAAACAATAAAAACTTGGGTCCTATTTTCAAATTCTGATTACAACAGGCTCATCTAGGGAATATCACCTATCTATAACCGCAAAAATTATGGAAATCAGTCCAGTAAAACGCTCAAACGAACTGTGACAAGAAATAATTAAGTACATCTATAAATAGGAGAATTCGCAATTTTACCACTTCACATAAAAAACCCTGGGTCATATTTTCCAAATAATCTGAATATAGCGGGCACATCTAGAGACAATCGCCTGTCAATAATCGCAAAAATCATGAAAATCGGTTTGGTAGAACGTTGGAACCAAGCGTTACCAGATATGCAAATTTAGGAGGTCTCAGAGCTTATAGTATAGAAAGCGAAACATAATTTGACTGCAATGTTGCAGGTTTCCTGTCACATTCGCAACAACCCTCAGGATATATTCTGGAGGATTACTGTCGGCGTAAGCCAGGCGTGCAAAACGTGCTCGATCGCCCGATCCGTAGATCGCGAGTGGACGGTGCACACTCCGGTAGGCGCAGTATAGGCAATTTGCAATACGTATCGTATGTGTAACGGTGTAGCGTTTGAAGTATTTCGACGATGTTGAAGGCGCTACGTATGCGGTGCACGCGGGCGGGCTCACTTCCACACGATTGCCCGCGTGGCCAGCGAAGTTAAATCATTGGAAGTGCATCATTTTTGCTGGAAACTCTGCAAGTGTTTTGTATTTGATGAAAATGTATAAATTAAGTATTGCTTGCACACTGATGTTTGTGTACATCAGGGCAGCTGCTGCGCTTGTGTTTTGTCTCATTATCACCCATTCATTATGTCCATTTATGATTTTTGTGGAATTTATTAACTTTGATCGCGCTGATTTTTTGAACCTAAATCATCTCGACCGAGAAAAATTCGCTGCTGAAAATGCTCGCTGTGTAATATGTAGCGCGCAGGGGAAATGTACGTTTGCTGGTGAAAGTGCACACTGTAGAACTTTTTGTACTCTGCAGCAACCTTCCCGGACAAAAAAAAAATTCTCTCTTTAGAATAGGAAATGGCCAATCCGTTCACCTTGTTTATAAGACCGTGCCTTCTTATGAGACCATGCTTTGTGTTTGTTTAGTCTTGGTATTTTGCATGTCTTTCCCGAAATTTATTTCTTTTTTTGTTGTTTCTTCCCTGTCAAAAAATTCCACCGTAACCAACCTGGTACTTTATGTCTTTGGGTCGACCGTAGTCAACTGAAACTAGACCCTGGGTAGAGATGCTCAATTTCATGAAACTTTATAATTTTAAATCACATAATTATTTTTTTTTTTTTTTTTTTTTTTTTTTTTTTTTTTTTTTTTTTTTTTTTTTTACAAAATTCTACACTGGACTCAGTATCCAATGAAACACATAGGAACAGGCTGTTCTTAATTATCAAACTTTGGAAAAACTCAGGGCGTCTACAGTCAGTAAAATCCGTAAACTATCAGAAAATTCGATGTCATCAGAAAATATCATGGATCATGAAATTCTGAGTGTTTCAAGCATTTTTCAAACATCTGAGACAGTTCATCGAATATTCAGATATGTTATATCAAATGAGTTATGAAGTGGTAGTGCGAAGCCGATTTATTCAAGCAAAAAGTCAGGAAATTTCGGATTAGATATCAGGATGAATCAGGAAAATGCGAAATGAAATTTTAGTTGACACCCTGAAAAAGGAGAAGAAAAAAATATTATTAAGTCATATTTCGAGGTAATTCTATGATAAGTGGGTTGCATACGCACCACACAACTCCTAAAAAATCGTTAAAATTTCACGGAAAGTCAAATGAAGTGGAGGACAACACGCAAACTTGCAGTTTTTGAAAAAAATGAGAAATTAATAATTTCAAATAAAACTAGTCTTACTCTCTTACTGCATATTCTGCGAGAAATTTGCTCCCAAATTCCAATTTTTAAGCGTCAAGAAGTCAGTTTGAACTTTCTTTCTGCCGTAAAGATCCATGTAATTCCGAAACTTCAAACACGTATTTCTCGAAGTAGCAAAAACTGCACCTTACTCTCTTACTGCATATTCTGCGAGAAATTTGCTCGCAAATTCCAATTTTTAAGCGTCAAGAAGTCAGTTTGAACTTTCTTTCTGCCGTAAGGATCCATGTAATTCCGAAACTTCAAACACGTATTTCTCGAAGTAGCAAAAACTGCACCTTACTCTCTTACTGCATATTCTGCGAGAAATTTGCTCCCAAATTCCAATTTTTAAGCGTCAAGAAGTCAGTTTGAACTTTCTTTCCGCCATAAGGATCCATGTAATTCCGAAACTTCAAACACGTATTTCTCAAAGTAGCAATAACTGCACCTTACTCTCTTACTGCATATTCTGCGAGAAATTTGCTCGCAAATTCCAATTTTTAAGCGTCAAGAAGTCAGTTTGAACTTTCTTTCTGCCGTAAGGATCCATGTAATTCCGAAACTTCAAACACGTATATTTCTCGAAGTAGCTAAAACTGCACCTATGCGTTTTGTCTTCCAAGCCTCACAAATACGAAATTTCATCTATTTGTATCTCTGGCCGTGGATAGTTGCACGCGAGGGCCAATCCTAAGGCCAGCATTGCGTCAATTCATTCGGAGGAACCTCGATAGTGCCATTACAGATTATATCAAACCCGATGCTTCGGACAGGGACGCCGAGCCGGCGACGATTATTTCTGCGTGCGGCCGCTGGATGGCGTAAGAACCGCGTTCGGTCGCGTTACTCCAGCACCCGGGCTTCCTCAATACGCGGCGATCCCCGCGCAGTTGCCGGCTCGCGTCAAAATTCACCCGCTTGATGTAGATCGCGAAACACAAAATCAGGGTGTCTACTGTGCTGTGCTAAGGGAAAACGCCGTTTGAACGTTTGAGAGTTACTGCCAAATTGCTCCGGTTTAAACATATTTTTTTGAGGGAAGTTATAAATATTTGGATTGCATTTTGCAAAGAAGAACCACTAGCATTGCAATGATGCTAAGATTGTGCAACTTTATCTTTTGCGATAAAATTGCGGAAATCGTGAAAAAGTATGAAATTCACAGGGTAATTTTTGTCTTAAATTCACAATTTTTAGCGAGTAAAATAGAAACTATCAATGGATAATCGAGTTTTTCCTCCAGAAAAAAGAAGTTGCTCAATCTTAGCAACATTGCAATG